CCTAGAAATCTATGAAATCTATGAAACTTCTCTTCAGAGACGTTTTAGTATGTGATCGCTGAGCTTTTGGAGTTGGGCAGGCCCTCTGGTCTCACTCAGAAATGGAGGGATCTCAGGATTTACGCAGATTTACAGTAGAGGTTCTAACCTCCTGTTGTTGGAGTCTGACATGTTTGTATGTATAATAAAGAGTGTCCTCTGAGGGACTTAATTTTTTTTCTTTTTTGGGGACACAGGGTCAAAGGTAGCAGATCCGTGCTGTTATGGACACACACAGTTTCATCTTATTCCTGATAAACTAAAACGGGAGAGGTTTATAAGAGCAAATCTTGAGGATCAGATTGAAGTTGTTTATCGAGCTAATGGTATTGCAAGTCTCTTCGCCTGGACAGCAGCACAAGCAATGTATCAAGGTGAGACAGTCAACTTGGTAAATTCTTTCTGGTCATGGATGCCTACTCTAAACTTCTTTAACTTTTCTCCCCACCACCTTTTTCTCATGCAGTTTCTTCTGAAAACTGTCCTTTAAGGAGGTCTTTGAGTTTATTGAACCAATGAATGAAGCAAACTTTGTACAAGGGAGTTAGTTAAGACTTTGCCTTTGAGTACTTTGACTCAAAGAGAAGTAATTATGCAGGAGAATATTTTTTTCATATATAACATTAAGCCTGTGCAAAAACCCCAATCCTGCATTCACTTGTTCACATTTGTTATGGGGAAAGGTGGTAGATGTCAAGTAGGTGGTTTTTTTGTTTGTTTGTTTGTTTTCTGAAACAACTGTGTTGCTTAACCCCTTGTTTCAGAAATGTCAATCTATGAAACTGCCATCAGTGAAAGAAAAATGTCAGCAGCCTTACTTTAGAATTTTGTACCTATGTCTAGAAATCCCAGAAGACCTGGATAGATAGACCAGATTAGTCTGCTGCTTGTTCATGTAAATATAATTGTTATCTACTGTTTCTAGAGGATACCTGCTGGTTTGTAGTTTCAGTTGTGAAATAACACATGGAATAAAATCCTTTGATTATGGTGTATATTGCTGGCTCTGCATCAAATTTTTTATGTAATGGTATGTTAGAAAGCTTGGCTTTTTTTGTGGACGTAAACATTGAAGTCAAGCAAGTCTTGGCTTCAAAGCTGATAACAGTTGTAAGTACATTGTGATCTACAAGGACAGCATGATCCAAATGTAGGAAGTTTTTTTGTTCTGTAGCAGTTTCTAACCATGTCCATTGCACACGATAACCAAATATCTTTTAAGAAAACTAACACACATGCCTAAATATGTAAAGAAAACATTTTTAAAAGACCACTAATGCTCAGCAGAGGTTGTTTGAAGCATTAATACTTATTATATTAACATTCATACTTACTATAGTCAGTTATGCTCGTGGATACATATACATGTTTCTAGCGTGAAAAAACGTTCACTCCCCTGTGTGAGAAGCATGAAAGAGTCACAAGTAATTTCCCCTCAGATCACTTGCAGGACTGGAATGCGTTAATAACTTACGTACTTTTGATAAGTCACTTGGCTAATCAGTGTGGGATTTTTATCACTCAGTGAACAGGGAACTGTGTACAAAATGCGAATATGCCACTCTGTCCCTGATGTGGAAATATCTGTTAATTGATGGTCGTGTTTTAGTTAGTCTGTATCAGGAAGGTGTGTGTTGCTAAAGCAGAGAGAACTCTGTTCCCTACTAAGTGGCTGTTGCATTTCCCAGTATTTTTTCTGTGTTTCAGGATTGGGGTTTAGATGTATGGCTGATAGGAATTTTGAGTCTTATCCATAACTGGTGTTATTTCTTTATTTTGTAGGATTCTGGAACGAAGCAGATGTGACCCGACCTTTTGTATCGCAGGCAGTAGTGACCGATGGAAAATACTTTGCTTTCTTTTGTTACCAGCTAAATACTTTAGCACTAACTGTAGAAACTATTCAGAACAATCCTCGGAAGAATATCTGTTGGGGTACAGACAGTAAGCCATTGTATGATGTTGTGGAAGGTGGTAGTGTGAAAGGCTTTAATGATGAAGTTCTGTTTCAGTTGGTTCGTTTTCTGTTAAACAGACCAAAAGAGTTGTAAATCATTAAAAAATCAAGTATTTCTGTTTATGTGCCCAACCTTCTTTGTAACTCCATAAAGTATGGGCTAGAATATGCCTTGTTCTTAGTCAAGTATTTATCTAGCAAACACTATATACATCATCTGTGATATTTGGGCCTTATTTCATTATTTTAAATGTATAATACTGTATACTGTAAAAATAAATATCTGGAACACCTTAATGTCTTGTGTATTTACTGGTAGAAGTGTATTGCACTAATTCAAAGTCATGGGAATACTTTCCTTTAGCAGACCAATAGCTCTATGTTTAACTGTCACAGCAATGTGTGAATTCATATGACCATCTGATTATGTTGCTAGGTAACTGTTGTCTTGATATTCAGGACCGGTGAAAAATTTCTGATTTTGTGCCTGAAAGGAATTTAATTGTCTTAAATGCTTACTCATTCTAAAGAAAAAGTGCACTCAGAATAAAAAGCGTAAAAGTGAGTGGTTGGCAGTTTAGTTACATAGCAAGGGAAACTGAGATATTTATCGAGCAGTAGTGTTAACACAAACTTGCTTTCAAAGATTCTGTTATGAACACGCCGATGTTTTTAAGATGTCGCCTCTGGAACCACAGAGAGAGCTCTCAAATGCATTTGCAGTCTACAGTTTTTCCTTCAGCTTGGGACCTTGATTTCAGTTGTAGGCATCTTGTTGTTTTCATTGCTGATATTTTTATGTCTTAAGGCTGTTTTTAATAGACCACAGCTGAGCCCAAACCACGGATCTCTGATGAGTAAGATGCAAGATTTAAAGACTGTTTAGGAATATTTACTTATCAACAAAGTATATCTGGTTTTGAGGTAATTAAACATGCCTGGAATTTTACATAGTTCTGTACGCCGTGACTGACCTTTTCGGAATTTTCCAGTGTTCTTTTAGGAGGGAAGTAGTTTGTTTTGAAAGAGAGTACTGAATCGTGTGACTTGTTGAAGTACTTGCCTGCATGTTCTTCAACCTGAGCAGTTAGGGATCCTGTGTCCTATTGTAAACTGGCTCATGGAGTATTTTGCTAATGAAAGATGTAGTTGTAGAGTCTTATTTGATTGGTATTTTGGTAATCTTGGAACAAACTATAGTCGGCACTTTCTTGACCAGCAGAGGATAATCTAGAGAAGTAAGGTGTGCATAAATACTGGTTTCTTTATAACAAGTAAAAAGTCCTTGAGCACTCTTTTCTATCTAAATAGTGCTTGAGTATTACTAGTTCTGATCACTGCTGATCCTTGGATTAAACAAATGTTCTGTGTAGGAACAGAAGATAAAGCACTGGGTTTGCATATTGATGATGGAGAGTAAAGTGTGACCTAGCTTAAAAGCGAGCAATCATTACTTGTTTTCTGGTGTTGTAAAGGGGTGATGCAAGACGAATAGAAGGATATTTAAAAAAATCGTTATTATGAATCCTAGAATGGTTAGGGTTGGAAAGGACCTCAAAGATCATCTAGTTCCAACCCCCCTGCCATGGGCAGGGAAACCCTCCACTACACCAGGTTGCCCAAAGCCTCATCCAACCTGGCCTTGAACATTTCCAGGGATGGGGCATCTACAACTTCTCTGGGCAACCTGTTCCAGTGCCTCACCACCCTCAGAGTGAAGAATTTCTTGCTTAGATCCAATCTAAATCTACCCTCTTTCAGTTTAAATCCATTACCCCTTGTTCTATCACTACAGGCCCTTGGAAAAAAATCCCTCTCCAGCTTTCCTGTAGGCCCCCTTTAGGTACTGGAGGGCTGCAATAAGATCACCCCGGAGCCTTCTCTTCTCCAGGCTGAACAGCCCCAACTCTCTCAGCCTGTCTTCACAGGAGAGGCGCTCCAGCCCTCGGATGATCTTTGTGGCCCTCCTCTGAACCTGCAGACAATCTTCACAGTTGGTGCAGTATGGTATTACTTTCAGCTTGAAACTGTGAGCTGCATACAAGCAGTGGCTGTGGAAGGCTGACACGTCAAAGAAACTCTTGCTCCCAGGGTGAAAAACTACTCATTTTTCTATGATTCAGCCTTTATCTATCCGGAGGCTTCAGCTGTAGTAAGTTCAAAGAAGAACTTTTTTTCCTTTTTGCAGCTTTACCTGGTGACTGTAAAGCTGCGTAACCTGGTAGAAGGACCCAATGTTGGAGTCGGGGAGGAAGGGAAGGCTCAGCGAGAGCTGGCCATTTTGTAATTTCAGCGGTCTGCAGCCGTCTCGAAAGGCACGGCGATGCCCTGGAGCAGCAGCGGGTGGCACTGTTTTACCTTTGACATCGTAATATTTGCAGTTTCTACAGCAATCTTTCATCTTGTACTCATCTGTTCAGGGTGTTTAATGCTGTTTTACAACGATGAAGTCGAAAGAAAGGTCTTTTTTTTTTTTTTTTCTTCAAAGATGATATAGCTATGAAATGTTTAAAAGTAGAAAACTCAGAAGTTAAGGCGTTTCTATTCTTTAGTTTTGCTCAGCAGAAACCTCCCGTGATTCTGCTCCTTTAAGTCTTGTGGGAGAATCATTCTTTAGCGTTCTATTTTAAGTTTGCTGTTTAGAAGAAACAAAGTAAGTCCATTCAAAGAACACAGGATGGAAATCTCCCAAGTTTGAATACTTTCTCCTGTAATAGTTTCTGCTTAGGCCTATTGGAGCCCGTCACAAGGGAACATAAGGTGGAATCTAAAAATAAGATTTGGTTTTACGTAATAAGGCAAGTAGTTTCTCTAGTACTGAACTATTTTGTTAAAACTTGTATCACTCTCAAGTGGATGACTGATGTATAGAATTCCACCTGTACTGTTGTTTCAGATCATGAGACTGCAAGTGGTGACTTGGAACCTAACTGCCTAAGCAGCTTTTCCCAAAATTGAAGCAGAAAGGAGGATAGGGGAAGACTCTGAAACTTTCTTATATAGGATCATGTTGCACAGAGTTGTTGCAGTAGATAGTTTTGTTTCTTTTCAGACAGGAGAAACAACTTCAACATTTACAGTGTCCGCTTGGTCATGCAGAAGTCTCTCCTGATACCTCTTGTGCACTCAGGTTTTCTGTCATTGAAGACACCTGGTTCTCTTGTCTCAGAAGCAGATGAAGGTTTCCTTGTTCTGGAGCTCCATTGAGGGGATTTTTCCTGAGGCAAGAGCAACTCTTGAAGTCGGTTGTTAGTGAGAGAGTCTATTACCAACTTGGCCTACTGGATCTGTAAAGACCACACATACTGGCAGGATATCTGATGGAAACAATGAAAGTGGTCTTCCAGGGCATCCTATGCAAAAATGAGCCATCCTTAATCAGTAGTATAACCAAAGTGCACCAGAGTAGGAGACCTGTGAAGTTTGCATGGAGTTAGCGCAAAGTCTGGTCTGTGGATCAGAAATTAGTCTAATAAACATAGCCCCAAGAAAGCTTGCAGAAGAGATTGCATAAGAACTGCTTTTCCAAGGAGGAAGAAACTTACCAAGTGGGTAGAAGTGTCAAAGTAAATGGAACATCAAAAAGCTGACAATGAAGACTGTGAAGTAAGTTAACAATGACAAAACTTGTAGCATCAAACCAGACTGATTGCACAGTATATGACTCTACATGCATTTTAGTACTGTACCAGAACCCCACTAAGACAAGGCCTTCAAGAAATACATGTTGAGGATCTTAAAAAACATGAATTAGAAACATACGCAACAGCTAATATTAAGTCCTCTGTGTCTGGGACCAGGCAACAACAGACATGAGACCCTGTTGAAAGAGGGTTGGTTTTTTTTCACTTTCTCTGTCTTCCAACAGAGTGTCATTCCCACCAAAAGCAAGAAAGCCAGTCACCATAAAGCAAAACATAAAAAATCCCTGACAAAGAAAGGGCAGGTAATTGCTAAGGAAGGCGTATTTCTGTGAGTCCATTACTGAAACTTACTCTGGTATTCCTGGTTAATACTGAATAAAGGTAGAATGGTGTCCCACATGGGTCTGAGAGTGGTAGGGGAAAACGGGTAACTGCTTTCCTCTTTTGCTGTTCAGAAAGGATGGCAAGTGTAGGTAACTCCATTTGGCAATCGAGTACAGGCTGAGGTTGTATCAAGAACATGACAGAAACAAGAAGTTGGTCACCTATACCACCAGGTATAGGTGGATTTGGTTTGAGGTATTTTTTAGGTGGATCCTCAGGGAGAGTTGCTGGCAGGCCTATCATATTATGACTGATTAGCCAGAGGAGAGGTTCCAGATAGTATTAAAGAAGCCCATTCTGTTCTGATTCTGGAAACCCTGGACCATGAACTGTTGGAGGATGTCAGTAAATGGAGGCCAGTAATGGTTACAGAGATTGTGCTGCAGCCCTCCTCTAGTATACTAACAAATTGTGTAAAGTTTACCTGGTAAATACACAGTAAAATAAGTTTTTATAACTGAGTTTCTTTGAAGACTTGGCTGTCCTACATCTAGAAATAGGCTAAGAAGAATTGCAAGCTACAAAGAGTTAGCATACGGACACTGCTAATACATTCATCAATGCATGTTGTGGTGCAAGGAGAGGAAGTTGTGAACCTCACTGCATCCTCCTACAGGAGCAGGAGTTCAGAATTAAAGGGATTATTCGTATCTAATTCAGAATGAAGGAAGGCAGTCTAAAGTCTGCCACGCTATTCAGCCTGGTAACTAAACCATTGGCCTTGAAGCTGAAGTTTGAAGATGAGAGGTTAACAATTGTTTCCTTGGCTTTGAAGATGATCTGAGTGGGGGCCACTTACCATCAGTAGCAGATGCCCTATAAGGAGTTTATTTACAGCCTTTTCAAAAATTCCTTGGAGACGACAAAGACATAGAAGGACACTCAGCATACTTCTCTATGTCTCTGCAGGACTAAGTGCTACCTAGCTTATGCTATTGAAAAGATAATTCTTCCAGACAGGACAGGCAGCTTCATTATGGTGACTGCTCAGCTATATTGGCTTATAACTATTTGCAATAATTTTTAATCTACTCTCTCTCTTTTTTTTGTTTAATTGTATCTGGTTTCTGCATAATTTGAAGGTTCTGTCTTTAGCTGACACACTCTTTGAGTGAACATTCTTTTTGTGAGTATTTCTTCTTGGTCTTTTAATAACTGTACAA